TTTAATATAAAAATAAAAATTATTTCTTATTAAAATTATAAATTTTAATATAGAAAGAAAATTTCAATTTTTACTATGTTTTATTAGTAAATTTAGCTCCTGAGTCATTACTTTTGGTCACCACTGTAAATAAAGTAAATTTTTTATTTTTTTATTTTTTATTTGTTAAAAATAATTAACTAATTTTATTGTAACTTATTTAAAATAATTAAATTGTTAAGCTCTTTAATTTAATTATCTTATTAAATTATTATTAGACTTTATAAAAAAATATATTAAATTATAAATCTTATCAAAGACTATCTAATAATTATTTTATTTTGTAATTTTATAAAGTTTTTATAATTTAAAAACTAAAAGTATTTGATGTAATTATATATAATAAATTATAATAAATTCAATTTATTGAGAAATTTAATATGACTTTAATATATATTTTATAAAATAAATTTAAAAATAATTAATACTAAATTAAAAATTATTAATAAAAATCATAATATAATATAAAGAAAATTTTAGTTAATAAAGATATTATGACTAATTACAAGATATTTTATTACTAGTAACCAGAATTATATAAAAATATTAATTCTGATCACTAGATGTCAAGATATCTTTTAACTGGTCACAATTCTCTCATTAATCAAAACATCATTTAGACAATCATTACTTTTCATGTGAATTTTATTGGATACGGATCGAGTTTCTTTTTATGTGATTTAATCATATGATATTATACAAAACTAAGATAAATCCGGTGACTTCAATTATAAACATTTCTTTCAACATCCGTTTTTACCTCCGAACAGTCTCAAAGACAAATACATAGTGCCTTCGTTCTGGAAACCATAGTCTGACAGCTTCAGTTGGTCGTTGTTTAGTTCTTTGGTTGTGTAAACAAGCCTTTGTTCTTCCACAGGGATTCCTATTAAACAAGTTTCAGAATAAGCGAACCAATAACGTGCGTGCCATCTTCGTTACTCCGAGCTAAAATTATACCTTCACGATCACAAATTTTCTTCTTGACACTTTCGACAGTGTCATCTGCAAACACCGTAAGAGTGATTGTTTTTCCTAAGAGTACAACTACGAACAGGGTCATACACAAAAACATAGTCCCTTCGCTCCGGAAATCATAGTCATCCAGTTTCCTTTCATTGTGTAGTTCTTCGAATAGGTAGACAAGTCTTTGTTTATTCACAGGGATTCCTATTAAACATGTTTCAGAATGAGCGACCAACAACACACGAGCCATCTTTACTTTTTCATGCTGTATTGTACCTTCTCTTTGCTGAATTTGCTGTTTGACACTTTCGACGGTGTGATCTCCAGACACCGTGAGAGTAATTTTTTCTCCGGAGCGTAGGACTACGAACAGGATCATAATGGCAGTGAAATCTTTATTACCTAGTAGTTTCGCTAATTTACTCAAGGGTGAAAGAAAGCAATTAATATATTAAATTTTTGAAATGGTACACGTATGTTCTAATGCTAAACTCAGATCACAGAACAAAGAAATCTTTAATTGATCATTTTGTAACACATTGTACTTTTATGGAAATGCGGCGTTGGTTGTACAATAAATTGCTTCGAAACTCTACCTGTAAATTAAAATGTTTTCACAAACGACAAAAGAATGCAAAATTTGTAACGATGACGTGCCCGTCATCAATTTCACGAATTCCACTACCAAATGTAACCATAAAGACATATGCCGTGCTTGCCTCAACAAAAATATTGATCGTCAACTGAATTTAAAAGGTAATACCAATATTGAGTGTTTAGAGAGAAATTGTAAGGTCTTGATGGAATATGAGGACATGAAGCGAGTTGTTAGTAAAGATTTGTTTGAAAGGTAGATTTAGCATATATACATATTATCGGTTTCTAATTCGCTACAAATATAATAGTTAAATATTTTTTCCAGATATGACCATCTTTGTTTTCGTCAAGCTATACGACAAATGCCAGATTTTCGATGGTGCAAAAGCCCGGACTGTGGTTCAGGGCAAGAGCATTTTGAACGAGGTTGGAAGTAAATTCATTTGTATTTGAATCAAAAAATGTGCTCAGTCAATACCTAATTCTTCAATAGACAAGGCTCCAATAATGATTTGTGCCGCATGTGGAAAAATGACTTGCTATACACACGATGTCCCGTGGCACAAAGACCTCACTTGCGCACAGTACGATATTGTGATACAGACCACCGAAGGTGCAACGCAAGATGCTATTGAACGCGAGACCAAACCGTGTCCAAAATGTCAAATTAGAATTTTTAAGTTGGGTGAGGAAGTGTTGTTTTACGAAAATTATCCATTTGATTAATCTTTCTCGCACCTTATACATGTATATAGAGGGTTGCTCTCATATGACCTGCGCCAATTCCGGATGTTATCACCAGTTTTGTTGGTTGTAAGTGTCAAGTTAGCTTTGGGTGTTAATCCTATTTGTGCCGTTTATTAATATTTTTCTTCGAACATTTAGATGTGGTGCGGATTATAAAGAAATTTTAAAACATGGCAACAACTCTCACAAAACAACATGCGAGCTGTACGGTAAAGCAAAACACAGCTAATTTACTTACAGGAAAGCTATAGTAAGTTCCCTCGATAAACCCAAATTTGCTAGCAAAGTCTATGAAGCGAATTTCCAAATAATAATCTGATCACTTTGATTAACAAGGTTTATATGAAGAACTCGAAATTTTTCTTGAAATTTTATCGCAAATTATACGAAATACTGGTTACTTTCAATATCAAATGATGTCAAAAATAACTTAAATAATAAAAATCAAAACTAAAACAAATCTTATATGCAAGATTCAATGTGTACTTAAAGAATAATGTTATATCTGAAACTTTGAATAAATATTTGAATTCTTTCTTTTCAAACATGATTTTATAGAATAAGAGCTCAAGTGATAATGATAATTATAGGTAGAGATGTGCCTATGCGCATAGTTACTAACCGATATCGTAAATGCCCATACACAATTATGCATATGGTTAAGTTCA